ATAAGATTTTCCTAATCTGGATAGCATGGTTATAGCAACTGAAAACAGTCCTGAGGCAGTGAGGAGTGTCTAAAAATACTATGAAGCTGTAAAAAGAAAAAAAAGAAGAAGAAGAGGTATGTCATAGAATACCAATGAAAACATGCTAGAAATCATAGCTGGAGATTTTCATTAAAATTCAAAAATTATTTAATAAAATAAAAATATTTTTCAGTAACATTTTGTAAAAACCTGAAACTGACTACAAGTTCTGAGCATTCTGATTGCAAAGAAGACACTCCAATAAGAAAATGCAACAGTGGCCCCTCTTGGTGCAATGAGTGGTTGGTTATGATTTACATCTCCTCCTACTTTCTCACATTCATAAATATGGAGTGGGTCTTTCTCCTCAGAGCACTCTTTGCAGTAGCATGTGATAGAACATTTACCTGAGCGCTGAATCTCTGGAAGAAAATTCTGCAATTAAATAGCTAATATGAGCTTTACGCTTCAAAGCATCAGGTTTCCTATGCACTAATTTCATATGCAAATAGTTTATATTATTTACCTAACTACAAAAATATGAGGAAATGGGGAACCTGGCACTAATACAGGTAGGAGTTTTAAATACATACTGCTTAAACAAGTATTGCAAGCGACTTCACAGCCCAATAAGGCATGAGCTTACGTACTTTATTGATATCTCAGCTTGCTTATCCACTCATAAGCCCACTGACACTTTTATCTATGCCTTTAAGATGATTTGTTGACTGCATTCAGTATGTTTTCAGAAGCTAATGCTTTTCTTTAACCCTGTGGATATTTCTTGGTTTGGTATGAACATTAGAAAGTCTTGCCTCTTCCTCTTGCCCTACAAAAATATTTTACTTTTGTTCACAGTTTCAAGTGGATAGAGAAATTTCAAGTGGCATAGAGAAAAAAAGAAACACAAAGGAGTATACTTTATTTTGAGATGAGGTTAAAGGGGAACTTCAGGACAAGATCTTGATGCTGTAGTTAATACTTGGGAAAGTTAGTGCTTATTTTGTCAGTAGCTTCAGGAAAATATCCCAGGGTAATATTTCATACTGCTGAATTTTATTTGCTAGCTGCTTGCAGGATGAGCATAATATTGTCTTGTCGGTATACTGCTTGGTTTTCTGTAACTGATAACTCTATGAAAAATAAGACTTCACTGATATTTTGGTGTGCTATAATATTGCCAAGCCCTTGTATATTATCAGTTCCAACATAAAATAACCCTCATATCTTAACTTTAGCAATGTTTTGTTGGAGCAAGCTGTGTAGCTTTTGGGAAAAGAAAGGTTATGGTTTGACTGCAAGTACTTTTCACTTTACTAACAGTTTCTTTCCAGCAAGGGAAAATTAGTATTAGTTTCAGAGGCTTTATCGCTCTTTTCTGTTGTCAGTCCCTTACATACAGATGATTATTCGCATCTCCTAGATAATGGCCTAGTGTTACCACAGACGTGATCAGCTTCTGTCTTGCAGTTATGTACTTCCAGGAATGCAAAATGAAATGATTTCTGATTATATTTTATGTTCTAGCCCCTTTCTTGTTCATAGAAACTTTTCTTTCACAATGCTCTCAGTGGGAATACTGTTAGCCATGCCTTTGTAATACAGCAGTCGGGCTTGAAGGGAGTGCTGAGGCCACATACTTTTCAGAAGGTTGATTTTGCTGCTTGGTTTTCTGCAAACACAAGTTACAATAACACATTTAATCATGTACCTCTTTCATTTAAAGTGTGGGAAATAAGGGAAAACATGGGCAACACCTCTGATATGACCCATATTTTTAATAATGCTCAATAATCTATATTTTGTTTTCTCTTCTAAACTCAGACTTTTCCAGTGTACTTTACAGATTAAAGAGAGATTGGTCCCTGCTCCGGCAATGCTGTAGTGCTGCCAGTTTCCACCTATGCCACAGCCTACCTGGATAATGCAGGAGCCCCAGTCTGATCGGAAAGAAAGAAAGAAAACAAGCTGATTTTTTTCTTAAACAGTTAGCCAAAATTCATTCACAGAACCACAGGGTTGGATTTCTGCAAGTTAAGTGAAGGAATCTGGCGTCCCCTATATAATCCTCTTTATTTGAAATAGGATATTTCAAATCCTATTTTGCTGAGCAGAACTGCAACCTAACAAGAGAAAACTGTCTCAGCTGGTAGCCCCAAGCTCCTTTCAACCTGCCCTTGGCAAACTTCTTGTATTTAACTTTTATTCTTTCCCAGTCATGCTACTGGCAGTTCAGACATTTCCCTCCCATTTTCCCATGTGCTTTGTGCATTTCATATACCTGAAGTAGTTCAATAAATAATCATCAAAAATTGTTTTTTCCTTTAAATTCATCTTTACCCGTTGACCTGCTATTGTCTTTGGATTGGTGTCATTAGACTCCATTAGTTTCCTGCAACTGGCAAATTCGCCCTACTTTTTTCTCAAATTAAACTTACGCAAAGTTTTATGTAAATGAAAGGTGTAAATGCACCAGCATTGGCCTTCACAGTGATCTGCAATCAAAACACATCTCTGACTGAAAGTTGGCTCTTATCTCAGTCAGTTGCATTCACTCTATGCACATTTAAAAGCTTTATGTGGTGGAGAGTCTGGCACATTGGGTTTACCAGAATTGTATAAATAATTCAATAGGAATAAAGGCAGTAGTTACTCAAGTGACATGCTAGTGCTGTGGAGTCCTATAAAGAGATTGTGCACAGGAAGAGAAAAGCCATAAATCAATGTACATCAGTAAAGACAGGACCAATTAAAAGGAAATTAATTCAGAAGGAAATGAAAGTTTTCTGAACAAGAGAGAGGCAATGAACATAGTATCTTCATCACTACTTTCTGTCTCATCATCAGAACACCTTGATGACTCAGCCTCATGCTTTCGAACACGTACTTTGAATGGGAACAGAGATAATACATGAAGTCTACAGCAAAAGCAGAACAGAATGGACATTCATCATCCCAGCTGAGTAGCTTGAACACATGCTTCTCATAACACAAAAATAAAAAGTAACTGCCATTTATATAAAGACTGAGTTGTTTAAATCAAACATAGTCTACCTGGATATGTATATTGTATATATACACAATATACATTAAGTTATTAAGTTAAATCTTTCTTTGCCAATGAAAATCATTTTAAGAACTCAAAGCTTCTTCAGTTCTGCTGAAATCCGCTGAAATGAGTTTCAGCTGCCTCCCTGTATTGCCACACACACTGGAATCCATCACATGGGTTATTTATTTCATACCTCGTGGGCAGGCCACTGAACTCGTCTACTCTTTCTCTTGGGTGATATCTTGGTACATAGCAACCATATAAGAATTCTTTGAATTCTGAAAAAAATTTGGTGTTTTCCTGTTTGCTTTAGGAATAGTCATCAGTGACAGTTATTTTATATTTTTTTTAATTTATTTTTGCACAGAATATATTCAAATGATATTTTAACTGAAAATTTGAAGTGCTTTCCTTGTCTTAAAAAATAAAGATTAGCAAATCTTAACGGGTACCAGCTTCCCTGTCAGAGTCATTATTGGTAAAATTAGCATCTGAATAGTCTTGCAGTGTGAATAATCTGTTTCTTCCTAGTGAAATTGTTCAGCATTGACAGACTATCACAACTCCTGTTTCATAGCTGCTGGAGATGGATCAGTTAATCAATGGTGCCCACACAATGAATGTTCTCATTCTTCTACTAGTTGTCAAATCTAATACCTATAGAGTTAAGCACTAGGGAGGCAGAATACAACTGCTGCTTCCAACAGAGATCAGCTTCACAGGACAAAGAATTAACATAGACATGGATATTTACCTGCAAACTGAGCTGCTCTTTGAAGCTAAACAATCATCACTTGATTATTCAACTACTCTGAAAAAGCTGTATTCATGCACACCACTGATTGTATGAACAGCTCCACAGGGCTTTTCTTAAGAGGCTGATTTGTACAAAGCATACTCACAAAGTGTTTATGTCATGTGAAATCACAGCTATGGAGAAACAAGGGGAAAAGTGGTAGAGGAAATTAAGAAAGCTACTTGTCAGCATAAACATTTTATAATAAAATACTATTAGTTAATCAGGAGACAGCACTGTAATCTATTTGTTTGGTAGTTTCTTCACTTAAAAAGCTAAATTAAACTTACAATAGGCAGTATTTTTCCAGAAAAATATACATATGCTATTACTGAAAACAAATACATAGCATACAAATACATAGCATAGCAAACAAATAGAAAGCATAGTACATTCTCCAGTCATCTCTAATATTCACAATCTTTTTGACTTGTCCAGAACAAGATACAGAAGAGAGAAAAAGCACCATTTAAAACTCCTCAGTTATCAAACATAAATTTTTATTCATGGTCACACATGCTGTAATAATCTTTGGACATCATACTCTGTCTATTAATCATTATATTCACAGGCTTTGAACACACTCCAGAGTTGGAGCTGGCACTGCAGTTCCATTATTGGTCAGAGACGGACAGCCTCTCACTGGCCTGAAATGGGGCCTGGGGCTGGGGAGGTCTGGTGAAGGTTCTGGAGGTTCTGGAGACAGAACCAGCAGACCTGTGTCCTCCAGGACGCAGCAGTTATCTAAGTAGAAGCTTTAAGTACATGTACACACCCTGCACACATTTAAAACTTGAGCAGGCACAGCAGAGGCTAAAACATATGCTGCAGGCTACTGTACATCCAAAGTCTTTATTTCAGTCTGGATATCTGTGGTGAAAGAATGCTTTCCAAGATAGGGGGAGGGAAAGCTGAAAAGGACTTTAGACACATTTTTGAAATTCATATAGATCCATATCTTGGCTACTGACGGGATGAAACGTGGTGCAAAACTGACCTTTCCAGGGCATGGACCAGTGAATTCAGTGTAACCTGAGAGCACTGTTGACCATGGGGATCATGTATCTTTTGTCTCACCAGGATAACCATAGAATAGCAGGAGAGAAGAAATGTTATTGAGCTAAGGAGGACTGTTGAGGAAGACTGGCTGTAAGAAGGAAAGCTTCTTTGTGGAACATAGGAAATGCAGGACATCTTAATACTAACAAATCACAGCTGCCCATGGAAGAGCTTAGCCATAGAGCCAACCCATGACAACATTCATCTATAGCAGAAATCTTAGGTAAAGCACAGCAGTTAAGCCTGAAATAGTACATACAGGAAAGCCACATGACAAATTCAAGTACATATGAAAAGAGTACCTTCATTTCAGGGTTGGGCGAGTCAAAAGTAGCACAAAAGCAATCATCAGATCAATCCTCTTGAAAGCGTTCACATCACATTTAGCTACGCCTTCCTACTCCATTCACTTCTTCACAACCTCAGCCTCCCCTAGTTAGATTTAACACACAAGTGAACACTCGGAACTACTTAACTATAGAAGGAAAAGTCTTTCTAATCGGCTTCCCTGAAATAATACAAAGATATTATATATTCAATATACATACTAAGCAGAATATTCTAAGTAGCTCTTTAAAATACAAACACGTACAAGAAAAATCCTTTTGATCGCTTTCCAGTTCTACAACTTTTGGTGCTTTTATTTAGTCAAAAACAATAGTCATGAAGATTTTTTAATATTGAAATTTGCATATAGAAATATACATGGCTGTAAGATTAGCCAGAGTGTTATATTTAATTTACATTTTCAAGTTTAAAATCTGGTAACAGTATCATCTGTGTTCATAGCTCCACTAACAGCTACATTTCATTACTTGAAATATAAGCAGCTCTGGGATCACCTACTGCAATTTTGTTTTCAGCAATAAAAACAGAATCTACAAGAAAGTAAACAGTAACAGGAGTTAAAACCAGGTAAATTATACAAAGTGCTGTTGTATCACAAAAGATTTTAGAGATGTCACTTTTCTTAACTTTTCCTTCTAAAGAGACTAAAATGTGATGGCACCTGCTTATCAGATTTACTGACATGCCAGTTTTCAAAGTATTCTATCACTCATAACTAGAGAAAGCACAAATCCAGGACAATAAATCCAAATACCCAGTATTTTAGGTAGAGGTTCAATTCAAATTTCTCTGTACAAATCCTTTCTATGCCTTCAATTAAGGGCAAGAGCTAAAATCGGAAGCCTAAGCATCATCCAAATCCAGATGTCAATGCTTCGTCTCTGAGTTCATCTCATGTGGGCCGAGTTCATCTCTGCCTACAAGAAAATGAAGGCTTTTGATATGAAAAGATATGAAATGTTTTGAAACTCCTATTTCAAGTCAATATGCACTCCTCACCTTCACAGCAAAATGTATTTTTTGCTCTTGCCTATGAGCCAGTGAAAATATTGATAATTCACTAATGAGAGAGAAAGAAAAAAAAAGGAAACAAAAATACATTAGTGACTATAGTGAGCATCTGTGGTCAGTGGAGAATTTTATGAATTTTTGCATTGACGCTCTCAAACATGCCACAAAATACTTTACCGAGACTCCATAACACTTTTAAAAATTTTCCTTGAAACTAAAATAAATACAGTAAAAATGTTAGATCAAAAAGCAAACAGGAAGAATCTCAGAAAAAAAAAAGTTTTTCTATATGGTTAAGTATAAATGTGATGAAAGTCATGAGTCTCATCCAGTTAGCAGAATAATCATTCAGATAGATAGGAGCTCTGGTGTTTCTGTATACTTTTTGTGAAGTATTTATATCAGTGAACATCACTTCTATTGGTAATCTTAAAAATTCAAAAGATAATGCTTTTTTACATTTAAGTTCCATTATGCATCTAAATCTTTGAAAAAGTAAGATGTCTTAAAGGAAAATAGGGAAAGTCATCTTTATGTCTTTCCCCAGAAAGTATATGTTCTGTATGTTTTGTGCATAGACAAATAATGTAAACAGTTTACATACCAAATTATACATGCTATTTTTGAAAATTCTGAATTCTGAAAAATGTGTTAGAAGAATTAAAAGGATTGATCTACTATCATGTAATTCCAGTGGTTAAAAAGCATCTGGATTCAGATGACCCTGAAAGGTGAAAAGTAAAAATTTGACAAGACTATCAGCACATATGTGAATTTTGAAGGCACTCATTGTGAAAAGAATTCAAAGATGAAAAACAGATTTGTTTTCTACTTTAGCACTAGGGCTAAGAGCAGAGATGCTATTCCATTCAGTTTAGCTCCACTGAGTGCTGAAGAAACTGTCTCACTTCCCCCAAGAGAGGTCTTTTGCCCAGATATCTAAGAGAAAGTGTTCAGGCCAGATATCTAAGAGAAAGCGCCCAGATATCTAAGAGAAAGAGTATCATGTCAGAGAAGAGGGAGCTAACATACAATCCAAAGAATCACCAACTTCCACAAACCTCACCTGAGGGAGTGATGATTGAAGCCCATCTCTTCCTAGTCCTCCATGGTAGTCTCTAGTGACAGCAATTTATTACCTCTTGAAATCCCCTAATAAAAAAATAGTTAGCACACACTTTAGGTCTAATTTCTTAACATAGGCAGGTCTCCTTCAAAAGAACTAGCAGTTCCAGCTACAGGCATTTCCCAAACTGCCTGATAAATATAGTGTCCAAAAACCTAAATTTTCATGCTGCTATGCTGCTTCTACTCTGGTTAACAGGTCCTACTCTACCTTGAGCTGCTTCTGCTCCAGGTATGGCCACAGTGTTTCTGCTCTAGTCCTCCCCCAGGACCAGCTGGTTTCATTTTAGCTTGCAAAAACACAGATACTTGCTATTCAGGGTTTAATTCAATTGTTAATGACACTTCACAGTCAAAATCCACCCAGGTTATGCTTTTTTGCTATTATTATTGTAGTTATTGATGTTATTATTATTTGATACACTCCAAAAGTGAAATCTGCAGAAAAGCTACGCAGAGAAGTTTTGGAAAATCAAGACTTTTTCCCAGTTTGTAAATACATGTTTCTGAAGGCAACCTTATGTTGCCATTTTCAGTAACCTTGACCAGCTTGGCATAGCACATCTTTGCTATGCCAAGCTCACTATGCTATGCTCGCCTCTTAATTAATAGGAAGTTAAATTGTCATTGAGTTTAAAAAGAACACACCTACTTGTGGTAAAGTGGTAAAGAACACACCTACTTGTAAGCAAAGTTACAGACAGAACAGTTGCAGCTCATCATTTTCATCAGCTGAAGATGAAAACCCTTGAAAGTTTTTTTGACTAATCCAGGTGAAAGCTACAGAAAAAGTGTCAGAGAGAGAATGAGATGCATTTCATGAGGTGCATGATGTGTCTTATCAGTTATCTGCTTTTACAGAGCAAAGTATTGGCAGTGATAATTTATAACGTGTCAGATACACTGACATGTTTATGCACTTAGGATGAGTGGAATGATCAAGACATTTTGCTGTCTCCTTCATTACAAGTCTTCTTTGGGTTCCCATTTTCTCTACTATATTGAGTGCCACTATCTGATAATGTTACTTGTGAAACTTAAATCTTTTGTTTGTATAAGCAGAAAAAGCAAGCAAAGAAGGCAGTTAAGCATATGGGTCTCTAAAGTTATTATTCATATTTGTGGGAAGAGGAATGCAAAACCTCTATAATTATCTCAAGACTTTCATCTAAGTGCGCACAAAGAAGAGATAGAGGTACATAAAATATGCCATATAATTTTTACTACTGTGGCCATTAGCTTTCCAAGCTTAATGCATATTTTATTACCTAGAAATTCATTTCATTTGCATTTTAACAGGATTTGATTTGAGTTTATCCTCTCCTTTCTCTTCCTATGACTCAACAGCTAGAGCAATATAGTGACTAAGGATTTTAGACTTCAGATATATTCACTAGTAGTTGCTTTTTAAAACAGGAATATAAAGCAGCCTTGCATTTTTTTACAGAGGGAAAAAGTACTTTTAGGAAAATGTTTTCTTTTTAATGCATGTGCCTGTACTCTGAACGGTGACAAGGTCTTTTCTATTAATTTTAATTAAATTAATATCTACTGCATTGTAACTCCTTAATGTCTATTAGATTTTCCATTAGACTATCTCTAACACTTATTTCTAGGAATATGACTAATCTGAGCTACAAAAGAAATCCAAAATATATATCTCCAAAATATAGATCTCTGTATTCTTGTAATTACAAAAACTATCTTGCCCTTTATTAAGTTTGTTTATTCTTCCTAAAATCTGAAGGGAATATATATGACTGTCAAAAATATCTTTCATTAATAAAAAGATATAACTCTGAAAGTATCATCTCCATTTCAATCAAGTGCCTCCTCTGATGTTATATAGAGGCATTCATTAAAGGTGCAACTTCATTACAACAGAGAAGATCAATTTTAATAGGACCTGTATGTCCATTTTAACTGTTAAATATTAATGGTCTATCTTACTGACTATGCCTCTCCCTATTATAAAGAGGCAGAAGGGATTGTATATTGGTGCTCTGTATGTTTCATAGTAAGATGACTTTTGTTCAAAAACATAATATGAATTCAGCTCTGTAACATGAAATCAGTCAGTACTAGTTATGATTACCATGAACTTTCATGAGCCACATTATTTTGTTCTATTAAATAACCACAGGTATATAGGATCCAATATGCAAAATAAAGAAGTATAGAAACAGAACTTTATTATTTTCCATTTCTTTTTTTCACTCATGTCGAGGGAACAGCAAAAATGTTTTTCACATTTCTTATAAGCAATGTTTTGATGGCTCATTTCTCACACATTTTTGCCTGTCCTCCAACATTTCCCCCTTCCTTATAGTAGCACACTAGTTTGAGAGGTGTAAAACAAAAGACATACACATCTTTCTCCTCCAGTTGCTCTTAATGTCCACTGTGTGCTGTTTTCCTACCTACCTGATCCTCCTTTGGAAAACAAGTACTTTTTATTTAGTCAGACAAAACTATATTTAAAGACAGCATGTTTGTCAGCTTGCCAAGCTGATGATCATCTTGTACATTTTGTTGATTAAACCCTTAGCAACCTGGGAAAGGGTGAACAAATCCTACCTGATGATACAGTTCTGAAGGTTATTCTGTTACCTTTCAAGATTGCTTTATAATGTACGTTCTTCTAGTTTTTCTAGCTCAAAACACCTCTAGCATATAAAGCAGAAGATTAAAGCTATATAACAACTGTATTTGCACAAAAATTCTGCATACAGCTTATCTGGATGTCTACTTTGTTCCTAAAATTCAAACTAACGTATAACAATCAAGGTTTGCATTCTCTTACCCTGACACTGGCTGTAGAAATTTATTAATGCTTTATCTTCCCAGTTTAAGTAGTGTGATAGTGACTCCCTCTAAAATGATGATAGTTTGATAGTTCAGTTCTCATCTGTGCTTTATTTTAATGTTATCACTCAGTCAGTGGTAGCTAAACCTTTCTCACTTACTTTTGGGTGCTGGTCTGAACATGGAATTCATGCTTCTGAGAGCTTGTAAGGCAGCAAAAAGAGATAGCTGGAATGAAAGAAATAAAAAATCAAACAACAGACGGTAGAAAAAAATACACAAAGAGGAGCAGTCAAAGCCTCTCATTTTCCAACCTCAGTCTTCGTTAGAGGAAACCATGAATTGTGTAAGGTCATTATCATTTTTCAAAAGAAGAATTTATCTAAAAATCAAATGTGATTCTTCTGAAACAACTATATTTAACAACATTAAATATAGCCTTTTGCAAAGCATTTTTGACTGACAAAATACATTTTATTCTAAATAGTTCTGAGACAAAATTTTAAAAACCTAAAACCATAAAAATTTGGGGAGGATGAAGAGCAAAGGTTAGGGCAAAGATTCCTCAAAAAAGAGATGAAAGTTGGTGGGCATTTTTGCCACTACTAATCAGTGCTTTGTGGTAACATTTTCATGAGGTTCATCAATATTGCATTAATTCTAAAGTGAGTATAGGAATTTCACTCACTGATTCTACCCAGTTATTGAAAGGCAGAACTCCTCATGGAGGAAACCTCAAAACAGCAGTGAAGTACAATTATGTTCAAAGCTAGGTGCTTATGGGCTAGATCAGTCAGTTCTAATTGAAATGATAAGTTTGAAGTTTCATTATTTTACTTTTGACAGCAGTGAGTATTATTGGAACAATCCACAACATACAACCTGTTAGTTTCAGAGAATAATTTCTCCAGAAAGCTCAATTTGACAACACATACTGCATGGTGTTTTATGTCAAAAACTATTTAACGCTTGTTCTTCACAAAACTTAAAAGTGAAGAATATAACCAGATAACTCAGAACAGCCTTCTGAAACTCACACATGAAAGGATGGAAACATATTCTTCAATATGTATATTTAATAAGAAAAAAAGCAGCATGGCTGTTCTGAAGAAAAGCCTATTTCTGCAACAAATGTTCCAGTTAAGAGATATTCAATATTTAGATCTTACTGGGTTATTTTTCAAGATGGAGCATGAAAATCTTGCCCATGGTCAAATTTAAATGCATTTACTTAAGTTTAATTCTGAGCTTTAAGCATGATCTGTCTATATATAATATCATTCTTTTCTGTTTAATATATAGTACACAGCTTCATTTACATATATGCTTACATATACATATATTCTTTAATAGTAGTTGTGGCATTTATGGCTTAGAACCAGAGAGACGGGACTTGGAAAGTCCTTGACAATATAGCAAGGTCTGAATTTGGAAATTTACTTCTTTTTCACCCACCCCTTTTCATTCACAGTATTTTCTTTTAAAGCCAATAAACTAAAAATAAATAAAATATGCATACTTACTGGGATATCTATAAATATGTTTATTCAGATGCAAGCTTTTCATAGGTTTAGAAGGAAATATATGAGGTAACAGCTACAGTAAGTTGTTCTAACATCTCTTGCTGGAGGATGGTCCATTTAATGCAATGGTTTGGAGTAATTATGCTGTCCTCTTTCCAGGACTGCAAAGCCTGACTTTACAAAATAGATTAAGACCCTCACAGACTGAGTGAACAGTTGAAAATTGTGGCTCTGGCTTGCTTTCCTTCCCTGTGACCTCATTCAAATTTTATGTCTCTCTTGTTCTCTTTTTTTTTTTTTCTCTTTTTTCCTGTTGGCTGCAATTGTACTTGGTGTATTAAAGAAATAATCTCTGCATTGGAACTTATGCCGCATACGTGAACCAAACCTCTGTGACTTTGTTCAAAGACGTTGCAGAGCCCCACAAAACTTGCTTTAGTTGTGAGCGTGCCAAGTGTCGGGGACAGTGGCCTATACAGGCACTGCATCTAAAAGGAAACCTGGAGTAGAGGCAAACAGATTGACAACTGGTGAAGGTCCTCTGCTGTGGCTGCCACTGGTCAAACTTACAGGGGGATTTTTAGCAAGGCCATTAGAATGCCCAGCTTGACTCTCTGCTGCCTGCAAAATCATCCTGTCTTCTTGCTTCGGCTGGGTACTGCTTCTTGTGACTTCCTTCTGTGCTGGAGAT